GATGAGCCCGAAATCTGTTCAGTGGATTCTCCACAGATTGGGTTATCGTTGCAGAGCAGCTAGACGGAAGCCCTAATTAAGACCTGCCAACATAGTCAGACGAAAGTGATATGATGACCAAGCCTCTGGACTTTTGGAAGACCGTATTGTTCTCAGACGAATCAAGATTCGCTCAATTTTTGGACAGTGGAAGTATATGCGTCTGGAGAATGCCTCACCAAAAGTTTTGGCTCAACAGATTGCAGCCAACTGTGAAGCATGGTGGTTTCAGCATGATGGTTTGGGGAGCTGTTTGGGTTGGTGGGAGATCGAGCTTAGTGGAGTGCGTTGGCAACATAAATTTTGTGAAATATTGGAGGAAGGACTCTTGCCACTTTATTCCTCAGGTTTCGTGGACAAGAACACAATGTTGTTCCAGGAAGATGGAGCACCGTGTCACACTGCTAGAAACACCCAAAAGTGGCAGGAAAAAAATGGTATCCAGAAGTTGCCCTGGCCAAGCCAATCTTCTGAAATGAACCCCATCGAAAACCTCTGGGCCATACTCGACCGACAAGTCAAGAAACAACCAAAAAAATCAACTTTGAAGAGTGATCTATTCCAAGTTTTGAAGCAAGAGTGGGCAAAAATTCCACAATCTAATATTGACAAGATGATTCTTACGATACCCCAAAGGATCAACGAACTTCATGAAGCGAAAGGAAGATCTACTAGATATTAATTAGATTATAAATATATCAATTCATATGAATATGACTGAAAAATTTCATTTTTTTTTAAAAGGTGGTGTCTATTTACTTGTGACCATGCTGTGTATGTATTGGAAATACATTTTTAATTTAAGAAAATGTTAACTTCTGTTGGCTGTTATTGATGTCCAATAGCAATGTCAGAGAGAATTATTGACACTTCTTAAAAGGATATGGGGGGGGGGGGCTGTCAGTGTGGGTTGAACAAATATAGTGATATGTCAGTTAAGCAAGAAGATAAGTTTAGATTTTATATTCTGGATTGTCAGTATTTAGAATGTGTGTGTTTCTAGTTGGTTGAACAATGTAAAGCCATGTAAGTGAAGAGAAAATATCTATAAATGAGAAGTCAAAAGCACACTATTACATCATGTGACTCAGATATGAAGTTTCAGGATTTATTTAAATATTTCCATTTAAAATTATGAAATTAAAACTTGGATAATATAAAAATGTGAGTTATATACTACTTTTTGATGACAAGTGTATTAACATACATTGAAAATATAGTTTTATTAAAGTTTGAATGTAACTTAGTAAAAACTTGTGACATGCACATTTTGACCTCCTGTGTCAATAGGATTGATAATTTGAAAGAGCGTTGTCTTTCACTAACATTAGAGTAACCTCAGTAGAGTTAGACTATATATTCAGTAAAACAATGAGTGTAATGTTTCATTATTGAATTTTTTGTTACATATTTTAGATGTATTACATAATCATTTGCAGGTTATTTCATTTTACAAACTTGTTGCATGTGAGAAGCTTGGCTGGATAGGTGTAATGTAATATGTGTATGATGACACGGAAGACAAATTTTGAAATTTTGGGTATCTGAAAACTAAAACAGCACAAAGAGAGTTGTTTAATAGTATATTAATAGATTCCCACATAGGTGTAATGTAATATGTGTATGATGACACGGAAGACAAATTTTGAAATTTTGGGTATCTGAAAACTAAAACAGCACAAAGAGAGTTGTTTAATAGTATATTAATAGATTCCCACAAAACATTTGCAGTCAGATTAGTATTTTTATTGCAACAGTACTTCTTTAAGTACAGAATTTCTTGAATAATACTAAATAATTCTAATCGCAGACACCACACTAAGTCCACTTGTCTCGGACCTTACACTGGATAAGCCTTTATTATGTATGGACTATATTTGCTAAAGAGATAACGCTGTAACTTGTGGATGTTTTTGCCTTAGTTTGGTTAGGGCTAAACTTTACCGTATTTAATACTATTAATAAATTAACTTATAATGTTACTCTACAACCTAATGTTAGACCTTTTTTAACAATCTTGATAAGCTTTTAATATGTTGTACAAAATGTCTACTAAAGTATATTTATGTCTGTTGAAATTAAATGCGCGTGCATGCACATTTAGATTGTAAGGTGCTTGTGCATTTTCAGGACAGACCAAAACTAAATATTATTATAATAGATTTCTGAATTGTAAGATTATATATCCCTTTCCACCTGGGTCAAAAGCCATGTCATTATATTTCTTGACTTGCATTCAAAATATTCTTGAACTACTATTTTTTTTTGTGTCACATCGTATGTTGAATGCAGCACTGGTTCAAATTAGATGTTTGTGATGTCAAAATACAAATTCCATAGTTCTGTACAAATTAGGAACTCAAATTACTCATGTACTGAATGAAACACAGTGGCCCCGCTCACCTCTTTACATTTTTGGAATATACATATACATACTTCTATATATGACATACAAATAACCAATCAAAAGCTCATAATGTCCCCCTAGTGGCTTTCTCAGCCATTTTAAAGTTTTAGGACCATCTCATTCTTTCAAACCATGATTTCAAGGAGGTAGGTTATGTCTTTAGTCTGCTCGAAATTTCATATTTTTTTTAGACCGAAATACAGCTTAGTTACTAAGCTTGATAAACTATAGTGGAATTCTATGGTATCAATATAGTCATTTATGATTTTTTAGTTATCCAAATGTATATATAAAACCTAAAGAAAATTATTTTGTTTTGCATCCTCCATGTGCAAAATTTTAAAAGGCTTAGAAAGCTACGACAAGCAACAACCAAGAACAAAGGTCATAACTAGGAGAGATAATTGTTCGTTTTACTTCTTTATTTACTGTTCTATGTTTTAAGAAGTTATTTGTACATAGTAATAATTTATATACATAAATAATGTATAATAATTAAACTGTGACTGTATATTACAAAATACTAATCTCCTAACCAAGGCAGGTCATTTTGTAGAGACTAAAGGTCGGTTTTATATTATCAGATATGGAATCTTTTGTATTGTTAGCCAGGCATGGCTGAAAGGTCAATATAATAAAAATTATAAATATATATAAATGTATAACATTATGAGATTTAAGCTATTTAGTCTGAACATTTGTGTTTTCATGTTATAATTTGTAGTCATTCTAGAATGAAAGAGGGATAATTTACATTTATTTCCTTTTTTTAAATGGTGGTTACGAGATTGGTCAAATCAACTAAACCCGTACAGATATTCGTTAATGAAAATAACAGATAAGATATAATGTTTTTTCTTTAAAAAGCATTTGATAACTGTCCAGACATTATAAGGATTTTGCATGTGAAATTTGGAAATATTTTGATGTATAAAATTATTTTTAATCCTAAAATGAAAATTACTTTGCATGTTAGATGGGCAACATGAGAAAAACATTGCTTTAGAAAAAATCAAAAATTAAATATATTTTTCAAAAACTACATACGTATAGGACCTTTCATCTCAAACTTAAAAGAATTTCATCCACTAGTTTCATTTTTATAAAAAACTTTCATGAGAGTTGCATACCTACATGTAAGTATGTCATGGTCAAAGTGAAAAGAAATGCCTAAGCTTCATTTATGGACTAAGCGGTCCTTTGTTCATAGGCTATAAATAATTACTTTTCCAGTGTTCGGTGTTAACAAATGTTTTACTAAACTGAAGAAAATATGGTTCTCAAATAATTACTTGATTATAAATAATAGCTAATTAGCTAATTATTTATCACCTTTGAATTAATTACAACAAAGAATTTGTCCTCCTGTGCACCATGGCTTGACTATTGACATATGATTTTAAAATTGTGCTTTGCACTTTGCTAAGCACAAGAAGTTTGAAACAAGTCTTAAATAAAGACAGAATTAATGAGTAATTAATTGCCAATTGAATTCTCCAGTTTATTTATAGCATTTTTTAAATTAATGAATCTCTGAGTGAACTAGACAAATTGTATACGTTTTTCTAAAGTTTGGGTGCACAGAAGATCCTGAGATATGGAAAAGATTGAATAAGATATAGATATCTGTAGGGTTTCATCTGAGGAGTTCTTTGCAATGGTCTTTTCTGTGGATATAGTGGTTTTCTGTTTCTCCACTGTCACAGCTCTGGCCATTGCTGTCCATGTCTTACAATGATTCTGTAAATATACTAATTCTAGATGTGTTTCTCTTTGAACATTTGACACGTTTATTACAACCATAGAAATTCTTCTCTGGCTTCTTTTACAGCTTACTTTCTCTACAATTGGTAACCTGTCATGATTGCATCCATATTTATTATACTGGTAGCACATCAAGTATTTTTCTGCCTAAAATTGCTAGTAAACTTTGAATCCAGTACTTCTGACATCTGTCCTCCAAGTTATGTGCAATCTTGACAGAAAATCTGCTTGTTGTCTTTACAGTTCTCAATGGTTATTTGAATCTATATATATATATTGTATTATAATAACACTATGATATCAGTTAAAGTTTTGTAAAAGTAATTTGTCCATCTACCAAAAAAGAAAATTATTGTACCTCTTCAAGATTCCTCAAACAATAGTGTATATTGTGTAAAATTGGCGAGAGAGTTGAGAATGTGTGCTTCCCAGAGATTGAGCCTTAATACTTTAGAATTTTTTTACTTTGTTTTATAGCAAGGTAGTACATTATTTTTTCTAACTTACTACTTCTCATTCAAAGTGTTTTCACATGGTTTTTGATTTATAATTTACACTTTTTTAACAGAATATTTTTCTATGTTAACATGAGTTTTCTGAAGTTCTATTTAAAAAGAAAAGGACTTTACCCAGTGACTATTAACTCTGTTACTTCTTTATCCTTGAGATAAGGATTTAATAAGCTAGAATATGCAAGATGATGAAATTCTTAGTTGAGTATTTCAAATAACTAATGAAGCAATTATATAATAAGTAACCTTGTCATGTAAGCATTTGTTTTCATAAACAGACAGTAAAACAAAGGACAGTACGAGACAAGATGAAACAGAAGCGACAGAGTTTGCTAGAAGCAAGATTGGCTAAAGTCCGGCAGAGGAAGAACTTGAAAATTAATGATGTTTATGATGATGAGAATTACAAAGGTAAATTCTTAAAATTAAGTATTTAACTTTCTTATGTAAAATATTATGTTATAAAGACACTTTAACATTTTTAATTACAAAATATTTTTGCTGTAAGGTTTGTAGCATATGGCATGTATGCAATAACTAGGTTTAACTATTTGAAAATCTCTTGTTTCTATTAGAAATGTTTAATATAAAATTTTACTTTAGTTTAGTAATGATAGCCTAAGTATTACATACTGACTAGTCAAGGGCTCATGCGGGTCCTCAGGATTTGTTCAAAGTGCTCCCTATTTTTCATGTGCATCATTAAGTCTGCCCACAACTCCAGGTACCACACAAAGCATAAGACCTCCCTGTAGCCAAAGAACCTGCAATCAGATGATTGCAGCACTGGATGAAAATGTACATCTACATTACAAAGAACTTTGTCAAAAGCAAGTATTACACTAATTTTAACCTTTCTAAGTAGTCTGGATGCATTTCTTGAGGCAATAAAGCATTTTTATTGTACTTTGAAATGCTAGAACATGTGTGGTAATTTCCTCTAGTATCACTATTGGACCACAAATAACAAAAGATTCAAGGATACAATGGATAGACTGAAACTGTGAGAACAAGTGTGGAACAGTCAAACAGTTTTATATAACAAAATAAAATACTACATTTATTATTCCATTGCTAGACTAAACAGACCATTCATTATAAACATATTCTAACAGGAGGATTCCTGCATATTGATTTTAAGTTTGAGTGACTTAACAACTATGCATGTCTTTTTATTATGGAGCTTCTGCCCTGTTAAAGAAGAAAAACAAATGTGTAGCTGTTCTAGATAAATTATGAGTGTTTGGGAATTATCATTTTGAAAAGAGCAGTTTGGTATTCTTTTTTTTTTTGGCTTTAACTGTGCAGAACCTAAATAATACTGACCAGAGGGAAGACTGTCTGTCAGCTGTACCTGCAGTTTGAACCACTAGTACCTGAAACATCATGCTATCCACAAAACATGAATTTACCACACACCTGAAAGGCTGTAGACCATGCCGAGTCTTATCAACTACCTTCCAAAAGCACTTGGGCTATATTGGGTGTCTGTTATTATTATTATAATATATGATACAGTGATGTGAACATGTAATGGAAACTTTGTTCCTTTATTTTCAACTGTATATAAGCTAGTGTCAAAACAAATTACAAAAGCTTAACTTGATCATATGTTGGTAGAAGAAAAGATGTATTAGGCCTTATAGGCTTAAGTGAATTTCTGAATGGACAAAGAAAAAACACTAAAATAATGAAAACAATAGATCAATACATAAAATGGGTTCAAAGCTTATTGCATATATTGAGTGAAAACTTCTGATTAAAAATTTTAAAGAAAGAATCCATTTGCTTATAATTTTGGTAAAATAGTTATTTTTGTATGCCAGTGAAACGTTTTTTAAAAATCAAAACTTTATAGCAAAGTTTTTACCTAAATGTAGGAAGGCATAAAAATCCATAATTATACAATGAAGGTAAGCATTTTCAATAATTTCTTTAAAAAAAAACATGTCACAATGAATCTTTTTTTAATTACCCTTGCCCTTGATGTACACAGAAATTTTACACAAGATGGGAAGTCAGAATGGGATAGTCCTCCCCAAATTTGGTCCAATTCCAAATCTGGATCACTTTAAAACATTTTTGATAATGTGGAGATAGGGCATTATTGTGGTTTTGGGTTAATAATTGTAAAGTGTGGTTGAAGTTATACTAAATTTGATGGGCACATTAAGGTTCAGACTCCTCATCACATTACAAAATGATTCAGATCAGTGATAATTGTGGATCCGAGAAGAATTTTTTGAGTTTTTGAACAGGAAATGTGACATTATCCAGTATAAATGCATGTAATCTCATAAAGGAGCAGTGGGATGAGGGTTTGCTTATATTTTCAAAGCTATGAATTCATAAAAATATTATGCATAAAAATGAAGAATATATTTTCAGAAGCTGAATAATCTATAGAAAGCTCTTCTAAAGTATCAAACTATTTCATCAAATCTGTGCAACTTGGATTGAAGAAGCTACAAAAACACTGTTTTGATATACAATGAAACTGATTCACAGACCACGAGTTTCTGATAAGATAAGCAAGTAAAAGACAAAATTTTCCATAGCAGTTTCATTGTATGAAATTATTTTTAGAATTGATTCATGAGGAGCAAATGGTAGTGTATCATAAGACTACATCTGCCAGGCATCAGTGTCGTTGTTGAGGCATCACTAAAACGTTATTTTTTCCTGTTGTAAAACAAAACTCTTATACATTCACTGAAATTAATAGAAGGCAGAATAAAACAATTATTTATCATGATCCATGTCAAAATTGAAAAACAGAAATGACTTCTTATCAATTAACTCACGAGTCTCCCATTTATCATTTAACTGAAATCCATCAAAATATTTTCTGTGCTAAAGAACCTTATAACTTGTTTCTTTTTTAAATTTAGATTTTCATGATGTTAATATACCATTGTTATTATAAACAACAGAGTCAAAACAGCCAGATAGTGTGGCAACAGAAAAGTTATGAAACACTCAAAATGAACATTCTTTAAAGAACACATGAATTTATGAAGATGCTACATATTGTAAGAGTAGAATAGCCAGAACGTATGGCAACAGAAAAGTGATGAAACACTCAAAATGAACATTCTTTAAAGAACACATAAATTTATGGCTACATATTTTAAGAGTAGATAGGATTTTGTGGAATTGATGCTTTTGACTAGAGTATGTTTGTTAGTCTGATATCCATGCTGACATAGAAGAAATAATTGATACAAACATGAAAAAATGGTCTGCAGTTAAATCTAGCTGAAGTTTTTTAAGGTGTGTAGTGTTAAATTTTCAATAAAAGTAAATATAAAATGTTGTACTACATATGTCTCATGTTTTTAAGTTTTTTAAGTTTTGTATTTATCTACCTAAAGTAAACATAGTAATATTTACTTTAGTTTTTTTTATATTATTCTTACTATGGTTGTCTTGAGCCATTTGTTTATGTTGTGAATATTCATCAATATGTTGTACAGGATTATAAGTTCCATGCATTTTTGTTGTTACAGGAGAACTTTATATCGATAGTACTGTCGCTTTAGAACCACAAGAGTCAACTGCTTCTAAGTCAGAAATAAAAGAAACTCCTGTGGCTCCAGAAAAGCCCATTCAGGTCAGACCATGGGATATTGGGAAGGATGGTCTGAATGAGAAAGATTTTAAGAAAGAGGAATTGCACAAAAAAAGTAACTAATTTTTAAAGTTTGAAACACTGCAAGTTGTTTTATTCTATTTATTTTACATTCTTTTTACATTGCATGAAAGAAAAGTTTTTTGTATGCCTAAACATTTTCTTTCCTATATTGTCATCAGTTTGCATAATTGAAGATCAGCATTTTATAGCATGTGTGAATTAGTTGTTTTTTTTTCAGTACATTTATTTACATATTGCTTTAATTAATCCATACAGGACTGGTTGAAATTAACAAAAAGTTTAATACTTTATGTCCAGATTTTCAGGCAGTGTTTGAAAATGTGAAAAAAAGGCTAAAAATGTTGATTTTTTATAGGTTTTTTTTTTACATTTGTGAAGTGAAATATGTATTTGTGTATTTTTTAGCTTCTTTCTAGAATCTATGCTATTTACATGACAGAATATCAGAAAGAATGGAGATTCTTTTAAGTGTAGAACTTGTCTTTTAGAACCTGTACTGTGCTTTTTGTCAAACACCCTCATTTGTTTCCTTTCTTGCTAAGAAATTGATAAATTAGCTGAAACTGTCGCTATGTTAATGCCACTTGATTATTCAACCAGCCTCATTCCTAAAATACACTTAGTGGTTTTCTGCTTGGTCAATGAAGAAATTACAGTTAACAAGAAAGAAGTTGCAAGATACCACATTCATTAGTTCTAAGATAATGGATCTTAAAATTCTTCTGAATCTCTCTCAGCTTAATGAATTGTTTTAGCTGATCTTTAGAAAATCGTTACTGTCTAGCCCAAACTCACATTTGAGAAGGTTTTTTTTTTATTAGAAAGTATAATCTTTCAGATATTTAACTTGTGCTCCACAGAGTTGTGGAGAAATTTTATGGTCTTACAGCTGATGAGACTTTTTCCCCTTATGTCATATTAACTAAAATGGCTATCTATTAAGAAACAAATTTAGGGGAGGATGGACCCATTTTGACAGGAGAATGGCTGCCCCAGCACTTAGATTGAATATAATGCTTTGGTTTTTGATATCAGTGTAACTGTTAATTCATCATAATGTACAAATTCCATCAAGTCTCCATCCTATTTTATATTTAGTTATGTCTTTTTCAGTGAGTCAAATGGACTGGATAGAAATCAAAAGAGCAGAGCGGCCCATGGAGTTTGCACCACCCCAGTTTTTGTATTTAACTTCTTCATCTGGAAATAATTCTAAGAGAAAGTCAAGTAGAGAATCTGAAAACTTGTATGCATGTTTTTCTGAAACTCATCAAGAGACAAGCAAAAAAAAGAAAATTCCCTGTGGCTCATCAGAAACTCAACCAAATCCACAGAGTTGGCTTTCTAGCAAATCTGCAGTTGTTGAAGAACATACAAAAAATCAATGCTCTGATGAAATTATTGAATTGGATAAAATTCCTCTTCCACCTTGTGAAGTAACTTCAGAATTCACTCAGTCTTTCATTTCATCTAGTGAAAAAAATTTGAGCATTGAACAAAATAGTAACTTGTCTGGCATATCAAACGAGTGTTGTAAAGATTCAGATTCATATATTTCTGAAGCTATATCCTTTTTCAGACATCAGAGTAATTGAAACTTGTTGCTAAAAGAAGTTACTTGTAAATAACACTACATAAGTAAATTTCTTGAGACATATTGACATGTGTGTTATGCATGTTAGTATTTTTCCAGCTGAATTTTGTTATATAACTTATCTCTTTACCCAACAAATATTAACTTGTGTAGTTAACAGAGCAATAAAAAGTAACATTCGTGGCTTTATAATTTCAGAGTTAAATGTTTTTTTATAATACACAATAATTACTAATCAGATCAAAGAAAAAGATCCATGTGATCATACTGGTGTCAAAAGTTGGGTAAAGAGAGTTTCTTTAATATGTAGCATTGTAGCAGAGCTGTGCTGTAATAAACAAAACTTTAAAAGTTCACACTAGTAGGTATACCTTTAAATAATGTAGTCAGATGAACAAAGAATTCACTACACTGGACCTTAGATGTTACTTTAACATGTAGCCTCCATGGTGAAGACAAAATAATACTTGAGCATTGAAGTATAGGAATACTATTTATAACACCATCAAACTGAACCAAAAGTTTATAAACAAATTTAAAAGACATCTGTGAAAAGACAGACTATAATATTGGGTTCTCTGCTACTGAAAACTACAAATGGCAGTGTGAGAAACACAAGAAATGTGTGATACTGTTTGAGAAACATTAGAAGTGTATGATACTGTCTGAGAAACACAAGAAGTGTGTGATACTGTTGATTAGTGATATTTAAAAGTTCATTTCTTTGGAAAGTACTTTAAAAAGAAATATTCCAGCACTTTACCTTATCTCCTATCACATAATAGAATTTTGTGCTGCTTTCCATATGTGCAATGTTTTTTGTTGTTGTTTTCTTTTGCTGATTATTTTGTTTTCCCCCCTTCTACTGATATTCAAGTCCAGTTTGTTGCCAGTATCTGTTCAAAGCAATGATGGATCTCATAGTGAAAGAAGCTATCAAATGGGTTTTTCTTCCTTCTCCAGGTTTTTATTCTCATCTGTTCACCGTCCTCCCTCATTTGCTTGTTACATCTATAGCCTGGAACTGTGGATTCATCTTTATATTGACGACTGTCTTCTTTTGGGTCTGTCCTGACAAACCTCCTATGACTGTACTCTTCTTCTCCTCCAAGAATCAGCACATCTGGGTTGGTTGGTCAAATTGGAGAAGTCACATTTCACACCTACTCAATATCTCATTCATTTGGGTGTATTTTTCAATTCACATCTCGGTAGGGTTCGGCCTTATACTCTCACTGTCTGGGAGGTTCTCTCTCTTTTGGGATTCTATGGAATCCCTTATCCTTTTAGGTCATGCTCATATGTGTCATTTTCAGTGGAATCTGCATGATCAGTGGAACCTCACTTGTGATCCCTTGTCATACGCCATTCATATTTCTCCTTTCCTACATGTTAACTTTGCCTGGTGACTCAACAAAGCCAATACCACAGCAGATGTTCCTTTTCCTCCATCTTGTTTATAGATGCATCCCTGATAGGGTTAGGGACATATTTGAGCTGGCAAGAGCTTTCAGGTTGGTGGTCACACGATTAATCAATCCTTCATATCAATCTCTTCGTACAGTTGGTGGTACTTTGAGATTTGGATCATTTTCATTCAATAGGCTGTGGACATATAACAATAATCTATGCTGACAACTCTACTGTTGTTTTTCATACCAATCATAAAGGGGGCACCCAGTCTTGCTCTCTCTGTTTTCACACTCTAGACCTCTTTTTTTCTGCATCCATTCTGTGCAAGTAATTCTTATTGCTTGTCATATCCCATGTGCCCTGATTCTTGTTGCAGATAATCTTTTACGACCTGATAAGACACTACTTATAGAGTGAACCTTCAATCCTCTGGTGACTGGGCACTTTTTTTTCTGGATGTTTTAGCCACTCATCTCAACACCAAACTTCCCCTGTTCCTGGCTGTGGATGATTCCAGTCAGAAATGGTCCAAGATTTTTCTTTATGCCTATCTTCCTATTTGTCTTCTCTTTCGTGTACATTCTCTTATTAGAGTCACTCCATGTTGAGTCCTCCTGATAGCTCCATATTGGTTGGCTCAGTTGTGGTTTCCTTTATTGAACCTTCTCCAGTTCTCTCCTCCTCTTCTTGTACCTCTATTACTCTCTCTACTCCTACAACTGCATTCCTCCCTCTCACATCTGGTGGTATCAACACCTTGTCTTCATGCATGGGTTTTTTCTGATCCATTGCAATATGCTCAGGACTATTCTTCAACTGTAGCCTTTCTTCTTACCTCCTGGTCTATCAGCAAAAATGGTGCATATACCATAATAGCATCTGTTTCATAAGATTATAATTTATTTATGTCTGTTTAACTAACCTCTAATCTCGGTTTTTACAACAGCTATTTCATAACTGTGATAGGTGTATTTCAAAGAAACTTGGTCTAAAGCGAACATTCAGTATTAATTTTACTAAATAGGATTTATACCTAAAGGAAATCTGCCTCTATGAGTGCTTATTTCAAGAACAAAATATTATACTTCTGCAAAACACCTTATATACACCTCTTTAGTTTCAAAGAAAAATACATATGGTTTTAGTGTCTGCAATTAAAGCATGAGCACGTATTACCTCAAGTTTCTGTTTTTATACTCTACAAACACCATCCTGCCTCCCCTCCTCAATACATTCATACTGGCTTCTTCTTTTCAAACCACTAAACACTAGTACAAGTTGTTCTTGTAGAAATATCTTGCCACGTGATCAGTCTTTTCAGGGAAACACCATCCATTGAATTTGCTAACACTGCAACTGGAGAGTGAGCTTCTGACAAAGTGTACAAGGACTTGATAACGTAAAAGATATTGGAGAGAGAGAGGGCTCTTAAATCATGTATGGATACAAGAGGTGAAAAACTTGCCATTTGCAAGCTTGAAACATTTGAATTTCAGGAAATAGAGACAAAGGATCAAAGAGATGAATTCTTACAAGCCACTGGAATTGAGTATGCTGCAAAAAGTGTCTCAAATGATAACTTGTGGTGGTGAAGTAGACATCCAAGAACTGGTAAGTATGCATAATTTACAATAACACCTCCATCTCTATTATAGACATCTGGTGGTCTTAATTATGGCAGAAAGTCAGTTTAATCAAAGTGCTTATGGTGAATCACAGGATCAGAAAGTGATCAACTTGCTGGCAGATATAATAGATACGTTTATTATAATTGATGCTATGCATTCAACTAAAAGGCAGTCATTTCTTCTCAGTGAAACAGCTATTCAAAAAAAAGTGCAGCCATAATCTTATACTAGATGATTCACCTCAAACAAGAAGCATCTATTTGCATTGTAGCTGATAGGACCACAAACCAAGTCTCAAATCTAGTGAGGTAAAACAGTTAACTTTGTGATATCTAGGCTAATCTATCCACTCCAACATTTAAATATTTTGGTATGGCTAATGAAAACAAAGCAGCCTTGTTATGCTTTGTCTAAGAATTGGGATCAACAAAAAAGTATCATAACAGTGCAACTTATTTCTCTCAGGAAGCTTTGGTGATCAAATAAGGACTGCAGTGACAACTCCACCTGAGACAGGTACCTAATTACAATCAACCCAAAAGATGTGCTTCATAACTCTGACGTCCTTGAATTAAAGATAATAGTGGTCCTTGCAGATGCCATTGTCCTTTGCATCTACTACTGCAGTAAGTGTCCAGCCACAAAGGAATTTTGGGTTAAAATAGAACATAACAGTTTCCTGTCACTACACAAAATAACAGCAGCTATTGCATCAGATAAGTGCCTTTTGCTGCCATTCTTCTATGCATTTCAAGGCAAGGATGACCTAAGCTACGTTTATGGACAAGAGAAAGATGTGGAAGGCTCTGAAGTTGGTGAACAGCCTGCCATTTCTCACATACACAGAGCAATCTGTCCTGTAAGAAGATAATGCATAAACCAGTCATACAGTGGTTACAAAAGCCTGTGGAAGTAAAGACAATGATACTTTGATAAGCATACAAACACATATAAATGTTTCCTAGATGATCATCTGCACTCTTCTTGGTCTTCCTGTAATCATTGATGTATAAAAAAACATCCCTGACAATTTTGAAATACTAATCTTCCCAAATTGTCCAACTCTCATTCTCTTTGCAGCATTTGGGTGAGCAGTTGACAATCATACCAGTAAGAATAACCAATAGATCATTTCGAGAAAGAAAGAGGCCTTGGACTCCACCGTATAAGTAGTATTGGGTGTGTTATATTAAAATGATTTTGTAGCCTCGTAACTTTATTACAGTCCATGTCACAACATCCTGTCATGTTCTTTCTGACAACTATACGTCTTGACAGTGATTGTACAGCATAGCTTCCTTTGCAAAAGGTTGTCATGTCTAAAACATGTCCTTCCTTCCTGCATGCTTTCCCTAATCTATTGTACATGATAGTTCCCATTGCTCATTTCAGCAATACGATCACATTGAAATCCAGAAGTGCTGCATCTAATGACTTGACCAGTATGCCTTTGTATAGAATATTGTGAATACCCATTTCACTATCCAGTGCTTAAAGTATGAAATATTAAATGGTTGAATGAATATGTCATGGAAGCAAATTATGTACATGTATCTTCTGTCTTTTTTTCTAGAAAGAAATTATTTCTGATTGTATTTTGTACTGTTGTCTCAAGCACAGGAGTAGCTTTTGTTACTGACTTTTGTGCTTATGGATTCTCACCCGTTAGAAGATGCAGTACTTTACTTACCATGCCAGGGGTACAACTTATAGCAGGTCTCTTTTTGGATGGTACTGGTTCCATAAGTTGGTCTTTCTTTCTTTGTTTTCCAATGTCAAATACAATGGATATCTAATCTTTGAACTTTTAAATCTCCAATCTGAACATTTATTTTATTTGAGTGGATAAATATTTTGCATTGTAAAGGGGTGTTAAATGTCCTTCCCAAAGGTGATCAATTTTCAGCGGTGTCACCTTACTTACAAACAAAAAACAATGTCAAAATGTAATATTCGTACATTCTGTTCCACCACGACTTTATATTAGCTGTGATTGTCACGTGACTAGCTGACTTGCACATTCAGAATATTTTTAATAAAACATGCTCGGCCCTGTATAATAGTTTATTAAATTCCAAGGTCATCACCAGATGAGAATGTTTAAAACCACCATTAACAACAAACTTCATATCAATTTATTACTGCTGAAAATTAAGCACAAAGCCTTAATTAGAAGATTCAGTTTAGCTTGTAAAAGTATGAGTATTTATATTTTGTTCGTGAATAGAAAAGAATATTAAAGATTTTTAAAAACTGAATCAATTTTTGTTGATTTTATTAATGCATAATCTGTGAATGCAGAGATAAGGTTTC